CCCAGCAGGTCAGAAATATTTCCCCAAGACATGGCCTAGCCTTGGGCCCTGTGAATTGGTTCCCTGCCCCCAGGTATGTTCCTAGGGGCCCTTGAGGCTCCTGTTGAAATCCTTCCTGAAGGCAAATCTTGAGGCACCTCAGAAGGGAGAACTCTACAACCTCCCTTTCCCTCTTTCCTCTCATTTCAAGTCCCAATGGATGTCTGAAGTTCTATAGAACCATGCGGACTTATCCCCATTCCACCAACTCCGAGGAATAGGCTGGCTCTGCATTCAGCTTGGGCCCTTTGCCAGCCGTTCCTGAGTCAGATCCCTTTCCCAGAACCTGAGCCTTACTGAATTCTAGGGAAATCCTCGGGACTCATCTCATGGAGGCAGCGCTCCAGAAGGTGGGCTTCAAAGGAGCCTCCAGTAATTCTGCTTAGCCAACTATGGTGGGTTTTACCCCAGCTGGACTCTGTAGCTCCAAGTGGAGTCTGGTAGTAGCTCCAGTCTGGGAAAAGCCCCCAGCCCCACAAGCATCAAACAGGCAGTTTCAGGGGTCCCTTTAGGCCTGGTCTGGTAGAAGGAACAGCCCCTCCCAAACTCTGCCCCGGGCAGCCTGTGAGTTTGGAAGTGAAGATGGGGCAAGGATGGCAGAACTCTTATGTCTGGCTGGGGAAAACCAGCTGCTACTCTTACACCTGTTGTCCGTAGTTTGTTTCTGAGGATGCTTCCTGACCTCGGAGAACCCCAGTGGAAGTTTGCAAATAGTTTCTCGATATCCTGAAGCATGGTTTTCTGGAAGCGACTGACTTCTGGAACTCTCTTTGGAGGGCAGATGAGATGTAGGTTACTGATGTCTCATCTGAAAAAGCTTGAGTTTTATAAGCTGCTGTTACTTTGTGACGGGGGGCAGTCTTTTTTTTTTTTATACTGTATTTTTGTATGACTTTTGCAAAGTGATGGTCATCGTTTTTTGTACAAGCAAAAAAACCTCTTGGGCAATTTCTCCTGTTGCAAGGTTCTGATTTATTTTGCAAGGCAAGCTTACCTGCAATTTTGTATTTAGCTGTGATTATTGATTGCCTGATTTTAAAATGTTGCCTTCTGGGACATCTTCTTCTAATAAAAGATTTATCAAACATATCAGAGCGAGAACAGCTTGTGTTGTGTGAGTCCCCTCAACCACTGACAACCATTTCCGGGTAGCCACAAGTGATCTACAAGCCTGCATTTCTTTAACTATGCTGCCAACCTGGTCATTCCACTTTGGGTTCCTGAAATGCCATTTCAGACATGTCTAAACAATGCCGGCTCAGTACTTGGTGTGCGCGAAATTCTCCTGTGAATTGCACAGAATGCTAAATTTGTTCTTTAGGAGGCTTGCAATCCCAGGCCTGTCATGGGCTTATTTTGCGGCCTTTTTGCTGTACCTTTCTGAGCCCCAGTATCCTCATCCTTAAAAGGGGGCGTGGGGGGTGGCGAATGCTATTCCATAGGGTTTTTTGGGAGGTATTAAATATGAAGGAGAACTTAAACTGCTTTCTGAACTATAAAGGCTTATATTCTTTAGAGTGCTCTTGTCCGTACCTTAAAGAGCCCTGGTGGCACCGTGGGTTAAGTGTTGGGCTGTTCACAGGGAGGTTGGGATCTACCAAAAGCTGCAAAGGGAAAAGATGAGGCAGTCTGCTTCCATCAAGATGCATGCCTTGGAAACCCCTAACAGCTGTACTCTGGCCAGTGGGGTTGCTCGAGTAGGTAAGTATGGCCCTTACCTTGCGGGTTTGATGACCCTTTCCAAAATATCTTTATAAAAATTCTCTGAGAATTTACAATACAGCGTGATTTTTCTAACAGGTAGTTTTATTTCTCCCTGAGTCTCTCCCTCCCTTGCTTCTTGTCAACCTGCCCTAAATGTAAGAGAGAAATGTAATCATGGCTGTTCCTGATGAAGATTCCCTGCTTGGTTAGCACACTCAGCTGCTAACTGAAAGGTTAGAGGTTTGAGTCCACCCTGAGATACTTGGAAGAAAGGCCAGGCCATCTATTTCTGAAAAAGCAGCCACTGAAAAGCCTATGGCGACACAGCTTGGCTCTGACAGTCGCCTCCAGTCAGGTTAGACTCCGTGGCAATTGGTTTGGTTTAGTTTTCTTGGCATATATTTCACATACCAGATGATTGAATCATTCAGTTATATTAAGAGTGATGCAATCATCACCACAATCAATTTCAGAATATTTTTCTTCTTGTACTCACTAGCTCCCCATTTCCTTCATGCCCCTATTACATGCCCAATTACTGTCTCTGTAGACTTATTTATCCTAGATTTCATATACAGAAAAGCATATGAAACATAAGCAAACAAAAACAGCAATGACAGAACAAAACAGAAAAATCTCAATCTAAAAGAAATCAGAAAATATTAAAAACAAACTTTATAATGGGTCAAAAGGGAGATCAAATGATAAAATATTATATTTTAACCTAATTGCATCTGCCTTAAGCAACTTTATAATGCTCTCTCTCTCTGGGAACAAAGCTATTCACATCCCTGGACTTTATTCAGAGGGGATTTTCTGGAGGCTTAATTCATGTGTGTAGGACCTGGCATATGGATCTTGGGCTTCCACAGTTATCTATAGCCTTCTGAAAACCAGGTGCTCACATTTTACTCTCTGATATCATTCCCTCCTCCAAATTTGGATTTTATTATTTACAATCCTTGGCTCACACAGGCGGTTGTGCTTTTTCCATGTGGTCTTAGTTGATACCTCACTTAGACTGCTTGTTTGAAGCAAGCCTTTAAGACCCCAGATGCTATTCTTTCTGATAGCTGTGCGCCATCTGGATTCTTCATCACACTTTGCTATAGAACTCATATCTTCAGCGATCTCTTCATGAGGGCAAGTATTAAGTAGGACCAAGTCATAAAAAACGAATTCTCAGATTGGGGGTAGAATTAAGTACAAGCCCAAAATCCATTCATATATCCATGGTTTATTTTATCTCTCCAGTTCACTTCAGAGACAACATTATCATTTTATGATAGAAAACATTCTAAATCATCCCCCTGGGGCATAAGGTAGTTCTATTGATAATGTAATTAATTTAGCCAATGATATAGAATATTAAACACTGTTGAGAAAAGGAAATTGTATAAATATAGTTTGGCTTCAGACTGTAATACATGGATTGTGTACTTGTACACAGATTAAGCTCTTAACTGACTGGACACTATTTACAAGAAATATGGGGGCTCCTGATAGGGCAAAACTTTGAATAACACTCATTCACAAAGGCAGAACCATGCCGACCAGACTAATACGTGTCTTAAGAAACCAAAACTAAACCAAAATCACTGCCATTGAGTCAATTCCGACTCATAGCAACCCTTACAGGACAGCATGGAACTACCTCTGTGAGTTTCCAAGGCTGTCACTCTTTACAGGAGTAGAAAGTCCTGTCGTTTTCCTAAAAAGTGGCTGATGCTTTCAAACTGCTGACCTTACAGTTAGTGGCCCAACTTGTAACCACTGCACCTCCAGGGTTCCTGCTAAGAAAGCAAGGTGGGCACTAAAATAGTAAATACATTGTAGTCTCAATCATTGGGCAACCTCAAAGCAAGAGCTCCAAACCTAAGCGCAATGACCTCCAACTTCATAATGTTGGGATAGCAATCATCTAGCCTTAAGTCCAAGGGAATAGGTCTGTTCTTTAGATCTGCCACAGGTGAGTTTGAGGTAAAGTGGGGTTTCCACATCAATATGGCCTATGAAGGGTACTGTGTGCCTCAAAAGGACAGAACCTAAAGTCCCAGTAGTCTATAGCACACCACCTGGTCCCCAAGGACTGGATAGAAACTAGGTCCAATTAAGAGCATAGTACTGGGCATATTCTCCCTTTGGGTTCTGAGTATTATTAAGCATTTTTCCCTGATGGGAATTCATCAAACTATTCTTCATTCCTCACATTTACAAAGAAGCCCTTTGTGGTAGTTACATAATCTGGTGTCAACTTGAGACTATTATGAGTGAAGGGGTGGGCTTAGCATGTCAATCAAGTTGGAGCTTGATGACCTCATTTGGGAGCCACAAACGGAGATAAATAGCTTACTGGAGGTCAGATACAGACTCACTCCTTGTGAGACATTCCTGTTGACAAGCCACATGGAGCTATGCTGATGGCAGCCAGAGCCTTGGAGCTGGAGGAACATGTGGAGACCCACACCAGCGCTAAGATGCTTCCAACGCCACTAGATCCACAAGACTTTCCACCCACTGGCCTGTGATCTTCCTGCACTCAGAGTCATTGCATGTGTTTCATGAATCAGAAGAGGAATTTACAGACTGGTATCGGACATATGGGCTAATATCAAACTTATGGACTTGATCTGGACTGGGCTGGGATGTTTTCTTAATATACAATTGTTCTTTTATATAAGATCTTTCTTTTTTCTTTCTTTTAAAAAGATCATTTTAT